TTGGTAGTGGAGCCGGTTGGCGGCTCCCGCTCTTGCGGGAGGTAATGTCGGTTCATTACCGACTGATGTGGCCTTACGCGTACCGATACATCCCCCCCTAGACGTTGCTTAATTATAAGTGACTCGATAACGAAATGGGAGGCGTAAGTAAAACCCATTTAAATTGTTGGCAGTGGGAAAAAAAAAATCCCTTTATTTTTTATTTTTCGGCGCTCAGTAGAAGCGGCGCCTCGGGCATTTGTAATGGTTGCTCCGATTCGGGCACATTCTGCCGGTCGCCACTTGTGGTTCGCCACAGACGATGCAGCTACGTTGCGTTGTCCTTAGTGTGCGCCGCCGCTGGTTCGGTGGAGCTTCTTCCGCTCCTGTTTGGTCTTGGAGCTGAGCTTGGAGTTGCTACTCTTGTCTGGCCAGCTTTTCCGCTCGTTCTTTGGCCTGTCTGGCCAATTCTTCAGCTCGCGCTCTCTCTGTTTGGAGCGCTTCGATTTCCCATCGGCGCTCCTCTTCTCTACGCCGTCGTTCTTCCTCTCTTTTGCGCTGTTTTTCCCTTCGCTGGCGCTCGTTCTCGCGGTCGACTTCTTCGTAATACGCGTCGATGGCCGAGATTTAATTTTCCGTGTGGAACACGATGTCGTCCCACGCGCCGAGGGCCTCCACGGCGTCCGCGTTTGCCGTTAGCTGGCGGAATTGACGGAGCGCTGAGCGCTCCAGGGCTTTTGTCTGCCTGTACATTACCTCCAGGCGGCGTAACTTGTCGTCCATCTCTTTTATGCGATGTTGGAGATCCGCGCCGAGGTGTGAGATGTCCGGTAGTGGGGCGATCCCATTTTGGGAGGGGGCAGTTTCCTCCTATTGCGTCGCCTGGTTTTTCTTCCCTGGTGGGGGAGCCGGGGCGGCGATGGGCTCCCCTGTAGCGAGAGCTGGGAGCTCTTTGGCTCCATCTCCGATTGCGATTGAATTCGCTGTCGATGGGCCGGTCGCTCCCTCGTCGTCGTAGATTTCTTTGAGGACGATGGAACTTCCAGTTCGCTCCATCTCCTCCTTTTCCGCCTTTTTGTCGGCTTCGTCCCATGCCGTCATCAACATGGTCAGCAAGGCGTTTACCTCCTCGCTGATCTGGCAGTTGATGAGATTCTTGCAGAGCTCCTCGAACATTAGCCTGGCCTTCCTCGTATCTTGTTGTTGCATCTACGGAAAGAACTCTCAGGTTAGGTCACAATATGGGATTTGGATCTTGTGATACGCCTGTATGGTGCATCGTCGCTCGCGGTTTTTGGGTCAGTGGGTTCGTCTGGCCCTTTGCTTTTCGCTCTGCTCGTTTGTGTTTGAATGGGGCGCCTGACGATGTATTGTACTTTACGGGGCCGGCCCCTTTTCCGTTTCGCGGATACCGGGATCGCGGTGTGAGCCGTGACCGTGTTGAGAGCGAATGATAGCTCTGGCAAGTTTCGATCCCATTTTGAATGAGAGTCGACGATGTAAGACCTGATCATCGCTTTAAGGGTGCGGTTTACCCTTTCAACTGGGTTTGCCTGCGGATGGTGAACTGGTGTTGTTGAGTGGATGATTCCTTTGGATATTAGAAAGTCGCCCACTTCTGTGTTTTTGAATTCTGATTCGTTGTCAGAGTGAAATACTTCTGGTGTTCCAAAACGGTTTATTAATTTATGTAGCTCTTCGATGATTGTTGCGGTGTTAGCTTTTCGTAGGGGTATTATTTCTACCCAACATGATAACGCATCTTGGAATACTAGGATGTAGTTGTATCCTTTTTTGGTTTTAGGCAATGGTCCCATGATGTCGCCTGCCACTACTTGCCAAGATTTTTCTGCCATTCTATGACCGAGAAGTCCTAGGGGGAGTCTTTGCTCCGGTTTACATTGCTGGCATATACTGCACCCTTGTACGTATTTTCGTACCTCGGCATAGAAGTTTGGCCAGTAGTATAGTCTTGCCACTCTTTCGAAGGTTTTTTCCCTTCCGAGGTGGCCTGCGGTGGCGTCGTCGTGACATTCTCGGAGTATTGCTTTTCTGTATTCTTTTGGGACTACTAGTTTCTGTAGTTACTGTCTGTACCATTCATCTTTAGTGGCCTGGAACCAAGTTACTGATGCTAACTGGAGTTTTTCTTCCTCGAACATTCTTGAAAGTGGGTCCGCTAGGTCATTGTTGATACCTTTGATGATGACTATTTCGTAGTCCAATTCTTATAGGTATATTATCCACCTGGCGAGCCTATTAGTCGGACCCTTCATTGACTTGAGCCATTGCAAACTGCTGTGGTCTGTTATGATTTTGAAGTGGTATCCTTTTATGTATGGACGAAATTTTTTAGTCGCCCATACGACTCCGAGCCATTCCCGCTCCGTCACGCTGTAATTGCGTTCGGCTGGGTTTAACTTTCGACTTGCGTATTCTATAACGAATAGCTGTTTGCCGGCTTTCTGGAGCAGTACTGCTCCTAGCCCTGTGTCGCATGCATCTGTGTGGATGACGAACGTACCGCCAGGTCTCGGGCGTTACAAGACTGGGGCTGAAATCATTATTGCTTTCAGCCTGTCGAACGCGGTTTGTTGGGATTCGGTCCATTCGAATTTCCTACCTTTATTTTTTAGTGCCGTGAGTGGTTCTGCTATTGCCGCGTAGTCTTTTATGAACCTACGGTACCAGGAGGTCATACCTATGAACTGTTCTAGTTGGTGAAGGGTTTTCAGGGCCGGATAGTTGACGACTGTTTTTGAGTTCCTTCCTTACATTATTTTTAAAGTTATCCAGGTTAGTTTGCCATAACTTGGTCAGCTCCTGAAGTAACTCGTGATGTGGCCTTGGCAGCCATCTCTGTCCTACCGCTGTTACTTTGGCTTCGCAGTCCTTTTTGGGAGCTTTGTATGCTAGCTCCGGTAGCAGAGCTTTGGAGGGTTCTGGTGGCTGTCGATATAGTTCCGCCACTAACAGTGATTCTTCTGCTTCTGTCGCCAATTCGAGCAGGTCTTCTATCGTTCTAACGTCCGCTCTTCTAACGTGTTTTTGGATCTCCGGTAACATGTTGTTATGTAGAAGATCCAATTGAGTCGTTAGTGGCGGCGTTGGCTGCATTTTGTTCATTATGCCTTACAGGTTGGTTATGTACGTACGTACTAATTCCTCCTTGCCTTGGAAGCGACTGTGCGCTTCCGTTAGCAGTTTCTGTTGGAATCTTCTGCCAGGCCCGAACCAACGCCGGGCTGACTCTAGGAAGTCGCTATAAGTGTACCAAGTGTGCTGGTGGTTACGATACCATGTGAGTGCCTCTCCTGTCAATACTTCGGAGAGGGCTTCTAGTATTTCCATGTCCGAAATTGTTGACGAAATTCTGCATTCGTTCATCCTGGTAAGAAAAACTTCTAGACTTTAGTTTCTGTCCCCAGAAAATTTCAGGTTCCATTTTCTTACTGTTTGTCCTGGATCGTGCGTGCGAGTTGTCGATCTCATTGAGAACTCTACGTTGCAGCACCCGTCGTTGGTGAACGTTGCGTTCGTATTAGTTGGAGCTCGACGGGCTCCTCCCACTTGGTGTGTCCACCGTGGTAGGTTATGTGGACCAGACATGCTTGGGTGTGGCTTCCTAGTGGTCTTCCTAGGGGTCTGTGCGTATCTACCGTCATGAACGTTTGGAATTCCACTCGGCGTCTTTTATCAGTTTGCCGTTGCAGCTGTACGATATTGTTCCATAGCTCGATTATTTCCCTGTTGCTTATTAATATTTAGAAGTGCATGTTTGAAGTCAATGTTTAGTTATATTAATAGATGTGGTTTTCATAAAAAATAATTATTATCATGTCTTTTAAACATTTTAGCTAGCAGAGTATGCATTAAAACAAATCTAATGTGTACACTACCATCTTTTTCATGAACCACAGTCTCTTTTAAGTACAGCATCCCTTTAGTAACGCACATAGCTTTGTACAAATGTACGATTCATATACACTCCCGCCCAATAATCTTTGCCCACCTAAGAACAAAACGACTATAACTTTGAATCTCCATATCTCGGCTGGAAATACACCTACAGAGCTCTGCGGGGGCTCATTTGAAAGGGTTTTTCGAGGACTTTTCAATGGTGTATATTAAAATCATGCTTAGATATTTTCCTTGCAGATAGGACGGCGAATATCAAAACAAAAATTACGAAATTTTTGCTTTTTATTTAACCCCTTGCCATTTCGAGAAAAAAAATCGTAGAAAAATTCTAAACATAGCATTTTTTAGCTCTTTTTCTGCACTATCCAAAACACTCATTCAAAAATAATTTTCGTCTAAATTCAGCGATTATATGAGCATTTCATTCAAAAACAGCATCTATATTCATTGCTCTGTATCTCGGAAAATTCGAATTGTAGAAAAAAATTTTCTTGGAAGAAAATGCTCTATTTTGTAAGTAGAATACGTGAACGAAATTTCATAATCATATGAAAACATTTTTTTTTCAGTCGTAATATCAAGTAGTCTAATTTTTTCAATATTTCACTTTGGAATTATAAAACAGATCATTTATACTCGAAGCTATTCTATTAATTGTAGACCAATTTTAATTGTATGCAAATCTCGATCAACGAAAAATCTAAGTAGAAAAATTAATCTAATCTACCAAAACTGACATAACTAATGATTAGTGAAAAAAATTTTTTTTTAATGTTGTTCTAATCTTCTAAAAAATTGTTTACCATAGTAACATATTATTGAAGTATGGCACCGAGAGATTTTAGTAAACGTTATCAAGTTATTGGATTTCACATAAATGGTAAAAGCAATCGTTTCCGCGGTCTACCAGAGCGCTTCTTGTCTTCAACACTGCCGCTACTTTTGAATTTATTTACATTGTAGTCTACGGTTCGACGAGGAATATTGAGAATACTAGCAATCTGACGATGGTGGGCAAAGATTATTGGGCGGGAGTGTATAATTATTTTATAATCAGTTATACCCTTATACTTTTAAACATACTTATTTAAATATTACAGGCAATCGTATGATGTAACTATTGAACTGAAATTAGAAGGCTCAAATTTGGGAAGCAGTAGAAATGTACTAGATCTGAAAAATCCATATTTTCGATACACTGGAGTTGCTACCCAACCTCCACCTGGGCTTAATAATACATCACCTAGTGAATCATATTGGAATACATTAGATGTACAAGGAGCTCGTCAAGCAATGAATATGGTGAATGGTATGTCAGTAAATGGATTAGGCGAAGTATCCATTGAAGGGAATAACATTTGTGGGTCTAATAGCTCATTTATCACTGGTAAGATTAATGAATAATTTATGTTAAAAATATTGACTTATATAACCAATGATATGTTTAATGCATAGATTTATATCATAACCAACAATACGTAAAGTTAGTTAGCATTGAGGGCCTGTATTAAATAGGAAACTGGCAACATTATATTTGTAAAAAATTTTCAAATATTTCATAGTTTAAATATTTTATAACGATAGGTTGAATAAGTAAATAGATTATTCAACACATTCAGTAATATACTGTTCAAATAAGAAATATTGATGTCATCAAAATATAATCTCATGTGATAATTTATATTTTTTTGAATATTTTCCTATTAAAATTGTTTGCTTTAGACATTACGTGTCATTTTTTCTGTTATTTTATGGTATGACTAAATTTAATACATATTATAAGACAATTAATTCTGATTTACTTGTATAAATTGAATGGTCATTAAAATCCATCTTTGGTCACGTGATAGTAAAACTATCAAAGTAATCCAAATTCATATTCGCAATTAATTTAAAAACCTGTGGAATTATGATTTTCAAAGAATTTTTAAAAATCATTTTTTTGGATTTATATAAATAAATAAATAAATATAAATACATAAGTCCATACTTATGCGAATACAAATCATCATGAAACGTCACTTTTACGGATTTTTGTATTACGAGTTGTTATAAAATTAATAACAATCAATGCGAACAGTATGTATCTAATAGCGTAAGGCTTACTTTATTTCTGAATGTAATGGCGAATAATTTCTAATTGATTAAAATTCAGGTAGATTAAATAAATATGATAGATAATAGTTTATTACTATACCTCAAAGATCGTTCGTTCAATACGTTTACCAACCAGGTCGGGTGATGTTGAAATAAACTAGTTTTCTGTTAATTTTTTCAAGGTCATATACAGTGGTTGTAACATAATAATCGGTTTTTAATTTTAAATCACTATATCTTTGTTTAGAAAGGGGATTCTGAGCTGGAAGTTTTTTTAAATCTATGTTTTCTCTTGAACAATCAAAAAAATATTATCCGAATCGAAGTTTCATTGGCACCATGCTACAAAATTTTATAAATTCGTTTTTTAGCAGATTTTCGTTTCTAGTGCATTTTAAGCTGATCCTATGAGAAAAACAATGGCATCATCGTATTCTACGCAAAAGAATACATCGAAAATATGTACTATACTCGTATCTTCATTTACCCGAACCCATATGCAACACTTCAAAAATCGAAGGTTAGAATTCAATCATCGATTTTTACTTGTATAACGTTACCAACCATAAAAGTATGATGCATGTTTTCGATACATTTTTTGCGTAGAATACAATGGTGATATTTGTTCTATCGTGCGACGTATTCAGAAAGTGCTAGACGTAAAAAACCATTGAAAGAAATGCTTTTTCAATTCTAATACTTTTTAAATTAGCTACTTATTATAAAACCAATTGCATCATTCTGTTCTACTTAGAAAAACATGGAAAAACATGTATGGCATGTCCGAAGAAAAATAGAGCGACAAATTTTGAAAGAGCGCGTGCGTTTCACATATGGGTTATTTGTCTGCTAGACTCGCTCAGAATACGAGGGTGGTCCGATAAGTACTTAGCCTCACCGCCCGATTGACCCACTCTCGCAAAAGAAATATTCTATCACGTAGTACAACCTTCTCGATGGTTACTGTCAAGATTTCAGCCGGATCGGAGTTGTAGTTCATTTTTGAGAGCGTATGAATGCAAGTGTGTCCGTTGATTTTTGAAAAATGGAAAAAGAGCAGTATCGGTCGGTGATTCGATTCTTGTTTTTGGAAGGGAAATCGCGCAGCGAAATCAAAAAGCACTTGGATGTTGTGTACGGTGACTCTTCTCCTTCGATGGCGACCGTCAAAATGTGGTTTAACGAGTTTCAACGTGGTCGCACGTCGATTTTTGAAGAGCCACGTCCAGGTGCTCCGAAAACGGCTTCCATGGAGGATAACGTGACAAAAATTCACGATCTCGTATTGGCAGATCGACGATTGAAGGTGCGCGAGATAGCTAAGATCGTAGGCATCTCAAAAAACCACGTGGGTCATGTCCTGCATGAAATTTTGGTCATGAGAAAGCTGTCGGCGCGATGGCTGCCGCGTTTGCTCACTTCGGACAACAAGCGCAACCGTGAGACAACTTCAGAGCAATGTCTGACGCTGTTTAAGCGCAATCCGAAGGAGTTTCTGCATCGTTTCGTGACAGTCGACGAAACATGGATCCACTGGTATACGAGGTGTGTTCAAAAAGTAAGGGAACTTTGTATTTTTAAGAAAAAATATTTATTTATTTATCAATATTTATGTTGTCCCCTTCAAAGTAATCCCCCTCAGATACAATACACTTATGCCAACGGTTTTTCCAATCCTCAAAGCACATCTCATAAGCACTTTTCGGTATAGCCTTGAGCTCTTCCAGTGATGCAGTCTATATCTCTTCAATCGTTGCAAATCTCCGTCCTTTCATAGGTCTCTTTAGTTTTGGGAACAAGAAAAAGTCACATGGGGCCAAATCCGGTGAATATGGTGGCTGAGGCATGATTGTGGTGTTGTTTTTGGCCAAAAAATCTCTCACAAGCAAAGATGAGTGAGCAGGGGCATTATCGTGATGCAAAAGCCATGAATTGTTTTTCCACAATTCTGGGCGTTTTCTTCGTATTGCTTCTCGCAAACGGCGCATAACTTCAAGATAATACTGTTTATTGACCGTACGTCCATATGGTAAGAACTCCTGATGCACCACGCCATGGTAATCGAAGAAAACAGTGAGTTAACTTTGACAATTGATCGAACTTGGCGTGCTTTTTTCGGTCTTGGCTCATCTGGACTCTTCCATTGGGACGATTGGACTTTGGTTTCGATATCATAGCCATATACCCATGATTCGTCACCAGTTATGACCCTTTTGAGTAAATCTGGGTCGTCGTTGACGTCATTCAACAGTTCTTGAGCGATGCTCGTGCGACGGTTCTTTTGGACAAAATTTAGCAATTTCGGAACAAACTTTGCTGACACACGTCTCATGCCCAAAACGTTAGAAAAAATTTCATGGCACGAGCCAAGCGATATACCAACATCCTCAGCAACTTCTCTGATAGTGATTCGACGATTTTCCAGAACAATTTTCTTCACTGCTTGAACGTTTTCATTAGTTGTTGACGTGCTTGGGCGTCCAGAGCGAGGCTCGTCATTGGCATCTTCCCGGCCATCTTGGAAGAGTTTGTACCACTTGTAAACATTTTTTTTACTCAGAACAGTTTCACCGTATGCCACCGTCAACATTTCAAGTGTTTCGGAGTACTTTATTTTATTTTTTACACAAAATTTGATGCAAATCCTTTGATCCATATTTTTCGATAGCAAGAAATCGCCGAGCACGCAAAACACTTATAACCTTTACGTCTCTCACAACCAAACAAAAAATGCTATACACTTGAAACTTGGTACAGATGTTCGGGAAGAGTGTACCAACATAACAAAACAAAAAAATCGATAATCGAAAGTACGTTGCCCGTGAAATTTGAAAAGTCACCTTACTTTTTGAACACACCTCGTACACCAGAGACCAAGGAACAGTCGAAACAGTGGACTTTACCTGGCGAAAGTGCTCCGAAGAAGGCGAAGACTGCCCCATCGGCTGGAATGGTGATGGCCACCGTATTCTGAGATTCACAAGGTGTGATTTACATCGACTACCTGGAGAGGGGCAAAACGGTCACAGGGCTGTATTATGCCGGATTATTGGGCCGATTCGACGTCGAATTACAGAAAAAACGGCCCCATTTGGCGAAGAAAAAAGTGCTCTTTCACCATGACAACGCACCGGCTCACACCTCCGCTGTCGCCATGGCCAAATTAGTCGAATTAGGCTACGAACTGCTGCCCCATCCACCGTATTCTCCAGATTTAGCCCCATGCGACTTCTTTTTGTTTCCAAACTTGAAAAAGTCACTCGCCGGGCAGAAATTTGAGTCGAATGAGGAGGTAATCGCTGCCACGGAAGCCTACTTTTCAGACCTCGAGGAAACGTATTTTTCAGACGGGTTAAAGAAGTTGGAACATCGCTGGACCCAAGTGTATCGAACTAAAAGTAAACTTTGTTGAAAAATAAAACGCCACTTTTCCAAAATTTTCGTTTTTCTTTTGTAGGCTAAGTACTTATCGGACCACCCTCGTACATTGGTTAGTATAGTTGTATATCTATATATAACATATATGGCACATTCCAGAATATGACTATCAGGTTATCAGGGGTAGGTTTCGGATTTTCTTGAAACTTGGTCTAAATGTTGCCTATATGGTAGTTTACTTAAGTATGGCTTATTAAATCATTATAATAATTATATCTAAAGTTACAAACAATTTTGGACGCAAAATTTTCAAAAATTTATATCTCCGCAATCATTTAAACTATCCAAACAAATTTTTTTAAATTACGCGTAAAAGGGTGTACTCTGAAGATATTAAGCGAACAATACTTTAATATTAATTTTTCCAAAAGTTATTAAAATTTTTTTTTAAACAATTGACTATATCTCAAAAAGTGTTATTTTAATTTTAAAAATTCTTCTTTTATAGAATTGCTTGATATTTTTTGACACTCGGCGGTGCGTCGGCGCTGCCACCGAATTTACCGACTTATAAGCTATTGTCCATTTTTCTAATTGTAAATATGGATTGGTCTTAAACAATTTTTGATTACTTGTGTAGGTACTTTTTACATGTTCTGAAGTACTTGTAGGAAGGTCATGACAATGTATTTTCATCTGGATCACCATCCGATTCTCCATCTAAACTTTCATGTTCATTAGGAATAAATGCTTATCGATACGCTAATTTTCTTCAATGTCTGAATCATCTCCGTCACGCTATTAGTTGCATTACAATGTAGAATAATAAAACCCACGTTTGCTACTACTCAAACTTACAAAAAATTTACACTACGTATCACAAAATTCTAAACAGAACAGCTCTATCAAAAT